TGGAAAACACCTTGTGATATTACTGAGTCCAATACATGACCCGTGCCAACCTTATCTTGGCTACGTCCAGGTTTTCCTTAACCACCTCTGACTCCCTCACCTCCCTGGGCAGCCCATTCCAATGTCAAACCACTCCTTCTGAGAAGAAATTGCTCATAATGTCCACCCTAAACCTCCTGTGGTGCAGCTTAAGGCAATATCCTCTTGTCCTGTCACTGGTGGCTTGGGAGAAGAGACTGAACTTGAGCCAGGAGACGTCTAGGGTGGATTTTAGGAAAAGGTTCTTCCCCCATAGTGTGATCCAGCTCTGAACAGGCTCCCCTGCTGGACTCAACACCTCAAAAGTCTTTTCCTACTGAAATGGTTCTTGGATTCTGTGAAACTTGCTAATATGTCAAAATTTGGAGCAGTGGGATTCTCCCGAGTTGTGTACTCATAGTGCACCGCACAGGAGAGGCTATGAATAAAAGAGGCCATCAATAAAAGATGGGGTTCATTTAATTTGCAGTAGGATCTCGCCTTCTGGACTTGGGGAACGCTGCTCCTGTGGCACACACAGAGCCAGGGAACGAGGGTGTCAAGTTCTGCTTCCAGCAGTGCTCAGTGCAGGAATTTCAGGCTGTTCTCAGTCTGTGACTCTCTGGAAATGGACCTGGATGGGCTTTGACAAACTAATACTGCAAATATAGCCAGCATGCTGCTTTTTGTCACTTAAAGCATTGTTTCATAGCATTTACCAGCAATGGAAAACTGAATTTTCTCTGCTTTAATCAAAGAATTAATTAAAATTAATTAATGTAAATGCTTGAGTGTGTTGTCGCAGCTTCGTTTTTGTGTTTCTAAATGCGTGTGATACTTCTGAAATGCGTTGCAAACTCATCCACTTTTAGAAGCGTTTATTTTCTGCTTTCGGTGACAATGTGGTTACATGGAAGATGACTGATCCTGGAGGAGCAATGATCTGCACAAAATTATGGACATCTGGTGAGGAGAATTGTGTTTAACATAGGGTAGAACTGGGTAGACTGGGTAGAATCTCTGTTTTGGGGATTTTCATGTGTTCATGTGCATTATATTTTAAAGTAAAGCTGAAAAAAATTGAAGACAATAAGCAGAATTTTCAAAGAGTAAATTGATTCACATTAGTTTTCTTATTGAGCTGGCAGTAGCCAGGATAAACATCCTAAACACTGCATTTGTCAGTAGCAACATTTTATGTTTCTAATCTCACATGATCTCACTGTGGGATGAAAGTCCTTTGGAATAAACCAGTTTGATCCTGACACAGGACTCACCAATCAGCATTTAAGAATGTGCTGCTTTTTATTTGCATTAGGCTGTCTGACCAGTTTTCTCACAAGCCCAGTGGATTAAATTTTACTTCCCATTTCCTCAGCAGAGATGCAGTATCAGAGAGCATTTTCTCTTGTTTACCTTTGGAGCAGACGGTTCTCGGTCTTCTGGTTCCCTGCAGAGCAGCCAGAGCCAGCTCAGATGCTGCAGTAGTTTCTCTGGGAAGTCATGTTAATGCACAGCTTCTTTTTGTTCACTTTTGGACTAATTTTTACTGGAAACCCTTTTTGGATAAAAGGTAAGCTTTCTTTTTTTTTTACATATTCAGAAAGTTTTCTCCAAGTCTGCTTGGACACTGATTGTAATGATGCAAACCTTTGACACTGTGCCACAGCTCTCCCTGTGCAGCCCTGCTCATTGAGAGAATCTTGGAAAAGATTATAGGTTGAAACTTTTTATAGTTGAGCTCTTTTTGGGGTTTTTTCCTCCTGGATGTCATAGGTATGTAAATCCATCATTGTCTGGTTGTGACAGCTGCAGTTGGTGCCACTCTCACCAATAGTAGGGATGGTAGAAAAACATTTCTTCTTCTCTGATGTGAGGGAAATTCCTCCAATTTCACTGGAATTTTTCATTAACTCGTCTCCATTTACGATTTGGCTTCACATTTTAGATTTAAGTGTAACACCTGAAATGTTTCTTAGAAAGTGGTGTTTTTATGACGTGCATCAAAGATGGTTTCCTGCTTTCAGGTGTCAAAATTTGAATTGTTAAAAGAGCATCTCCATGGTTAGTTCAAAATACACTTGACTCATGAAACAAAATGGATTTTGTGATTTAGATAATAAAATTATTGAAGATTAAGAAGAAAATCACAACATGAAGTGCTGATATTCTTTTCAGATCAGTTTGCTAATATCAGCTTCCACATTTTGATTGCAATTGCAGCCTGTACAGTTAAATATATGCTACCTGCACCTAGCTTTTAAAAATCCTGATGCTATCTAACAGGTAGAGATCATCATTACACTGGAGAAACCTCCTCACTTTGAATGGCTGGTTGTGTGACTTTTGTGCAATTATGAATTCCTTTCACAGGAATGGGGAAGCTGAGGGTGACTTTGTACCACTGTAAATGTGAAGAAATCTCTTTGTTTCCTTATAAAAGAACAATTTAATAAGGAAGAAACCACTTTCATTGTTAAAAGTCGTATAATTGTTGATTCTGTTTAAAAGCAATGGTTGTGTTTCTGTTGATCAAACCAGATGATGAGCAGACAGGAAAAGGAAGATTATTTCAACTTTACACAATTTTTAAAGTCACTGGAGATTGTTTTTGTCTTTATAAAACCATTTACCTGAAACCAGATACTTGGCAGCCTTCTTATCTTTAGCTTCCTGCATTAGCATGTTGTTCTGGAGATAATTCTGATATCATGTAAAAGGCTACAAACCTTTTGCAAAGATCTGACTGTTGCTAGAACAAACAAAATGCAAGATTAGGCAATGGCAGGAGGCAGCGTGGTGAGCCATGTTTTCTAAGGAAGGGAAGGGAAGGGAACAAATTGTTTCCAGAGCACAACTAAAAGTATTCCTTATTCAGGACAATGGAAAATAGAGAAGGCCAGCTGTACCAATTTTCTGTGGTACATCAGGTTAAAAGTGTCAGTCATGAAGGAAAAAATGAAAAAGTCACAAAGTTAATAATCCAGAATATGAGAGAATTATGATTTTGTTTAAAGGCTTTGATAGTTTCTCTTTGTGTGCCCCAGAATACCCCAGCTTCAATCTGAAGTAACTTTTTTCAAAGTCAGGTTGATCATTCCTGAGCTCTTCACTCTTTCTCCATTTCTGGCTGGATCAAAGTAGGCTTTTGGCTATCACCACTGTGCAGGTGCCAACATAATGCCTTATCCTTTCTGATTCTTTACCAATTTCAAACTTTATTTTCAGGTGGATTCTCTGAACACACATCCAGACTTTCCACATTAGAAATAATCATTCCTCGAAGTCTGACAGGCAGAGAGAAACATCCCCCATTTTCTCATGAGGTTTGTTATTGTGATTTTCTTTTTTTCTGATTGTTGATGCTGTCCTTCATTACACTTACACACAATGGATGGTATATAGAGATTTTTGTAATGAAGTGTGCCCCACATTTTCTCTTCTGATTCTTAGTGTTTTCAGCTAGTTTTAAGTAAATTTGTTCCCACAAAGGCCTGTGATTTTACTCTGAGTGCCTTCCAAACTTCTAATCCTGTTAATGACCTTGTAAAACAGAACTGAGAAGAGACAGGAAGCATATTTTCATTTCTTCTGAGTCAGATTAGATGTTGAACCTGAGCTGCCATCCATGCTGTCCGTGTTCTGCTCTTTGGGTAAGAACCAGAGGATTTCAGCCATGTGGCACCCGAAGGATAAAAATGGTCCCACAGAGTGGCACAGGTTAAAAGATGAGTTAAAAGAGAAACCTGAGCCTTAATTCTTCAGTTCTGAGGTAACTTACCGTTGTGCCAGGTACGAGTTCATTTACTGAAATAACTGTTAATGAAACATTAGTCATGTTTGTGCAAACCAAATAGGTGATAAAAGACTGGGACTCCTTTATCTGATTTACATAAGGAGTGTCACAAAGCATGATGTGGTACTGAGCAAAGAGTGCATTCAGGGACTGAGCCCTCCTGTCTAAATGAAAATACAGATTCAGAGAATTTACACTTTACATAGGAGAGAATGTTCACTTTGCTGCTGAGAGTTTGAAATATGAGAGTTAGGAATCTTGTGATTTTTTACTTAAAACCTACACAGTAGCTGAGCCTCTCTTGTCAAGCAAAACATGGAATAAACACAACCAAATAGAAAAATCACCTAATTAAGTGATATATTTTCTTTTGCTTTCAGGAGCATTCAGATGACAATCTTTCTTACTCAGTTAAAACCAGAAATGGAACATACCTCCTAAAGCTGAAGAGAAATAAGTATGTGATAGAGTGCTCTAAGGAATTGTCTTGTTTTGGGGTTAGTTGCATACAGAGAAGAATTTTTATGCTGTAAAAATTCAGAAGAAACCATTTAAATGTCAAATTATAGCAACTACAAAACAACTCTGTTCAATACTGTTAAATATAGTGTCTTTGTTATGGTAATATCTTGTAAATAGAAGGGAATAAAAGTTTTTCTAGCTTTGAAGAAATTAATTTTGACTATTTTTTTATTAGCAGTGCAAGACAGAACATTTCAGAAAATCCTTAGGAAAAATTAGAATTCAGTTCAATATTAGTTTTTATTAGCAGGTCAGAGGGATTTTAGCTCTGTTGCATTTTAAGAAATGTTTCTGTTTCTCTTGTTCCTCATTCCTGAGCCTGTAATAGACCAGGTCCTTATGCAACTGTGTTTGCTTAGATTCCATTCTATGGATATTTTAGTTAAAATAAATGAGTTTCAAAATAACTCATTTTCCAAAAATTCCAGCTTGTTTTAAAGCATTTTGTTTCATGTGCTTGGATTTTAATAATAATTTAGCATTAAGAGTGCTGCTAACAGAATGTAGCACTTACCAGGAACTCTTGACTAATTTCTTGTTTCTAGACCATTAAAAGAGCAGTAGTTTATTTTTGTTTCCAGAAAACTTCTCAGTGACAACTTCAAGCTGTACACATATGGGGGAAATGGGAAACTGCAGGCAACACCATCCAAAAATGAGGTATTGTACATAATAAAACTTCCCCTTTGTGGCAGAATTTTCTCTGAAAAACCAGGGGAACCAAGAAAAAGTAGATTTGCTGGGAATGAGACTTTTGTGAGTTTTCACAGTGGAGCATTTCTGTTTAACAGTTACCAGTGATCTAAAGATGAGGTTCATGGGGGACTGGGCTGTTTGTGGGGTGCAGCCCCCCTGTTCCCCAGGTGTGAAAGGATTTGCCAGGAGATTATGCCAACCCTGAATTTGAGCCACCTTTGCATAATATGCAATTTAAAGTACAATGGCAGCATCAAAGCTCTGTAGTTTTTAAATAGCTTTTTTTTAAAATGTAGTTTTTAAATCCTTTATCAAACAGACCTTATAAACACTTCTAAATTTAATTTCATCTTTAAACTGCACATGAGCTCAGTGAGCCTTAATTGGGTGGTTTGTGCATGAAAGATCTCCTCAGAGCAGTTCTTAAGCAGGATGAGCAATGTCGATTAAAAATATAAAAATATTTTATCATTTTATAAAAATAACATTAAAATTTATAAAAATCTAAAAGATAGTGATGGGTTAAACAAAAAAGCTGGCTGTGTTCTAGAACCAAGGGACCAAAGGCTACTTTAGGTACTCATGTCAAGGGATATTCTCCTCCAAGAAGGTCAGGATTACTTTCCAAGTTGGGAGCTCTGTAAATTTCTAACAGCCAGCCCTGATGTCATGGAAATAATGTGGTTAGTTAGAAAATGAGTTTGCAGGTGAAGGCAGCCACCTTGTTGTGTCACTAATGCTGTGGGTTTGTTGCATTTCAGACACACTGTTATTATCATGGCACTGTTGAAGGAATTGCTGACTCCACACTTGCTCTTAGCACATGTGATGGCCTTAGGTACTTCCTCTTCCTATTTTATTTAATATTTCACCTTTTGATGAAGCTGAAACTCATTATGGGTTTTATAGTTTCCCTCAACTCCCACTTTTTTCCTCTTTTCCAAAATTCCTTCACAGAAAAGAAGATAATATGAGAGAAATTGTAATAAATTTAGGGAAAAACTGGGCATGACCTGAGGCTTCCAGATGTGAATGTTGTGACCAGAGATACCTTTGTAGAAAAAAAAATCTTACCTTGATGAAGCTTTTGTTGAACTTAAAACACTCCTGCAAACAACTTTGTCTTATGAATGGGCACATTTCAAAAGACAGACCATTTCCATGAAAAAATTTTGTCCAAATTTGAACTAGTTCTTGTGTTTCAAATACAATGAAATCACAAATGGGATAAAATTCACCCATGGCAGTTCTTTAAATGAATAGAGGGCTGAAAGGACCCTTTGCATCAGCTCTGTACCCACAATCCAGACTCATTTACTAACAATTTACTAACAATAGTAACGTTTACTATTGGCTTCATTCTTTTTTTTCCTTCCTTTTCTAACTGATTCAAGAAGCCCACACTTGTTGAGTATTTTAAATAAGTTCTGTTTTGTCTTTTATTGTAAAAGACTGAATTGTCTTTTATTAATATATTATATATTTTAATATAATTTCAAATAATAATTTATTTCTATATAGTGTCTAAGTATCCAGCTGTTATTCATTCATCTAGTCATAACCACGAGGGAAAAATGATGAAATAATGTTTTATTCTATTATGATTGTTAGGGGAATTCTCTACATTGGAGGCAAATGGTATGGAATGGAGCCCCTGAACACATCCAGCACATTTGAACATGTGCTTTATGGACTGGAAGATGAGCAGGGTGTCCCCTTCCACTGTGGGGTGCTGAATGGCAGCCTGGAGCATGAGATGTTCGTGAAGCCATCTGTGAAATACACATTTTCATCAAACAGTACCTCCAGCAGGGACAGGCTCCTCAGGGTAAATATATTTCTGTTTCTCCCTTGAGCTGCACTCCAAGGCATCTCCAGGGCTCTTGCTGGACATTTCCTTGTGGCCTTTCCATGGGCACCAGGCTGGTGGGAGCCCTGCTGAGGAAATCCTGGAGCAGAAGATCAGCACAGTGAGGATCTCGCCCAGCAGGGTCTGGCCAGGGCAGCTGTGGGCAGGACATGCAATGCACCAGCTGCCATTCAGCTCATGAATGCCAGTGTCTGACCTGCTGGGAATTACTGACACAGAGATGTTTGTGGGGTAATCTGACACAAATTGAGGCCACGTTACAAAATGCAGCATTGCAAACTCATTATGTTAATTTGCTGTGCTTTCTCATTTGCAGGAGAAGCGAGCTGTGCTGCCCCAGAAGAGCTATGTAGAGTTATTTGTGGTTGTGGATCACAACAGGGTAATTATATCATCCAACACTAAATACATTTTATTCTTTTGATCATTTTTCTTCTCTGACATTGTTATTGTATTTTACAGTTTTTGCTGAAGAATTCTGATTCTGCTGCAGTGCAAAAGGAAACAGTGGAGCTGATTAATTATGTTGATGGGGTAGGTGAGATAAGTTGCCTGGATTCAGTAGTTTCTATTTTGTGATAGCATTCAGAAGAGCAGCTTTCTTTCCAAAAGATATGTTTATGTACTTTCATAAAGTTTTCAGTCATACTTCATTTTATATTCTAAATATTTTTATTTAGTTTACAATTTATAAGTATTTTATACTTCACTTATAATTACAATTATCCTGTATTGAATTTCAAAGAAACTGAAATTATGTCCTGGTCACTATGTTCAGCTTGTTGTTCACTCAGTAGTAATTAAGTCATCTTTCAGAATTCCATCAGAACAGCTAAGGGACATTAATTATCTTTTTTTTTAGATGTATAGTGCATTAAACATCCAGATTGTTTTGGTTGGATTAGAGATTTGGACAGATGCCAACCACATAGCTGTGATGGATGGTTCAGCTGGGGATGTGCTGGGTAGATTTGTTTCTTGGAGACAGAAAGATCTTCTGAAGCGCTCAAGAAATGACGTTGCTCACCTCATAATGTAAGTTTGCACCCAGTGGCAAAACCAGCCATGCTGCCAGTGTTAATGTATATGATTTGGGGCTTGTATATTCATTAAAATATACCTGGAGTAAAATTCTCTGCACTTCCAAAATGGTTTAACCTGGAAAAATGACAAGGAAGTAGAATGGATTCTTAAGAGTTAATCAGCTCCAGGGATAGGGTGACCCCCAGAGGTCCCTTCCCTCCTTAGCCTTTCTGTAATTGAGTGCACTGACACAGCAGACTTAAGGGATTGATCATTATTTTCAACTTCTTATTCAGATATTCATTATTAATTAGAATAAAATCCTGCTGTGGTGATAAATTCCTTCTCGACTCCAGGAAGACCAAATTTTGCCTTCCAATATTTCTTTCCAGCTTATCAGTGTCTTTTAGTAGAAATCATGAACTTTGAACCCATCTCTAACACCACCTCCAAACTGTTCTTGTTGCAGAGGGAGAAGCTCCTTCGGTGGATCCATTGGAATGGCTTTTGTGGGCTCTGTGTGCTCACATGTCCAGGGAGGGTCAATCAGCACTGTGAGTACATCAACATTTGGGTATGGGAGAAATTGGTCCTGGTCCTTGGCCTATTTTCACCCTGGTCATGGAGTTGGCTCATTTCTTTCATGGTTTTTTTTACTTAAAGAGTTGTGGGTTTTTTATACCTTTTTTTTTCCTTAAGTATTTCCCAATTTCTTTGTCAAATTCCAGCCTATTTGGCTCATTTAATCTTCAATAAATTCTTTTGGTTATCTTTTTTTGATTCATCAAACTCAATATTGCATAATCTCCTCCTTATACCATTGAAGTTTATAACCACAGAGGTGTTGGGATGGGAATGCAACTACAAAATAATCTTTAAATAGAAAGTGAACACTGTAGTCTCAAGTGTCTGGAATTCTCACAATTAGACTGTAAACAGGCAAAAAAAAATATTAACAATTAGAATAAAACTATTTTTTTCTCCACCCTTGGGGCAGAACCAGTAACTGCAGAGGTTCCTGTCCTTAAAGTATGGATGCCACAACATTGTGGACAATCTCAGAAGCAGATCCTGTTCTTTACCAGTACATTTGTTGTTGAAGACTCCTTTGAAATCAATGTCTAACAGTGTTAAAATAGAACAGAATCACAGAATAAAACCTGCAGTGGTGATCCAGACCATCTGCCAACTTATTATCCAGAATGTGATCCTCAGGGAAGGAGTGGCAGAATCTGGCCCTACCTGAAAATAAAATTACAAATTTTCAGTCCTTGCTGCTTTCACCTTGCAATACAATTCGGTATCCTGCCTTCTCAGTCCCTGAGAGCTTTGTGGTGGGAGTAAATCACTGGGGACAAACAGCATTTTCCACAGTTTCACTGTTTTAAACTTGATTCTCTTTATTAGCTGAATCATGACAAAATGTTGCGGCATGCCACAGTAGTGGCACATGAGCTGGGGCACAATCTGGGAATGAAACATGATGACAAGAGGTGTCCTGCAAATTATATCATGCACAGCACAGATAAGTAAGAATTCCACTTATTTCATTTAAATAATTTATTTTGTTTGCAGTGACTGTGCCTTACGAGCTGTGAAACTCCTGTGAATCTGGAAGAGTTTTAGTGGATGGGGAGTTGTTTGAAAAATTTGATCACAGAGGTGGAGTGACTGACTTAGTATTTGACATCATTTTAATTTATATGAAATTCCATCTGTTTTCTGACCTAATCGTTCTTTATTTGTAACAAAAACATATTCCTAAAAACATGTTTGGACTTAATTATTTTTTTTAATAACAGTATGTTGTTGGGGTTTTTTCACCCTGTTGAGAATGCTTTACATGTACTCACTGGGTTTGTGCAAATATGCAACAAATTATTTAACAGTTAATTAAAAAAAAAAAACAAAAATCTTCTTGCCTTATGTTTCCTTCAGTTCATTTATTCTCTGGCTTCCCCTTAAGAGAAAAAGATCATAATATTTTATTTATCCCCAGTTGTATTAATAATCAGGGTAACTGAACACTGGACAAAACTACTCTAGGAAGGGGCATTCCTCAGTTCTTAGGGACTCCAAATTAAGATGAATGCTTTCCTGAGAATATTTTTAATTAAACATTTTTACACTCAGTATAGAATTTCTGAGGCCTGTTTCATACAGGACACCAGAATAGTTAATCTGATGGTCTCTGGCCTCTAAAAGCATTCATATTAAAATAATATTTTAAACTTCTGGTACTGCACTTTAAGGCAAAGTAAAATAAAAATTAACTGGTTTATGATCTCCTAGCATCATGAAATACAATATTTATTATGGAACAACAATATTTTAAGAGCTTGAGTTGCATGTTCTCCTGTAAGCAAAATATTTATCATAATCCAATATTATCCTTTCCAGTGGATCCAGGAATTTCAGCGCCTGCAGTGCTGATGATTTTGAGGCCTTTATTCTAAGTGGAGGAGGAAACTGCCTTAGGAATCCTCCCAAAACAAGCAATGTGTACAAAGAACCTGTCTGTGGTAATAATGTGGTCGATAAAAATGAAGAATGTGACTGTGGCAAACCACAGGTAATGCATCAAATTGAGCTGAATACTTGTTGTATATTAATTATATTATATTATATTATATTATATTATATTATATTACGTTATATTATATTACGTTATATTATATTACATTATATTATATTACATTATATTACATTATATTATATTATATTACATTACATTACATTATATTATATTATATTACGTTATATTATATTACATATATTATATTACATATATTATATTACATTATATTACATTATATTATATTATATATAATATCATATCATATTGTTCTATATAATACTGGCTTAATTGCATTATTATCTGAGGCGTTTTCTTTGTAATTTTTCATTTTTGCAAGCAATATCAAAATAAATATTAGTAAAAGTTTAAAATTATGCTTTGATTTTCATGTGGACTCAGTTAAGGGCTGTTGGACTCCACAGAACCTTGAGGCACTGCTGAGAAAGAAGTGAAATTCTTGGGTGTGGGACACCACTGGGTTTTGTGCTGGTTTAGCATCATGGATATTTCTGTTCCATGACAGAGGGTGTTTATCTATAGAACATGGACAGGTTTGTCAACTGCAACCCTTCAACTTTGCCTACACAAAATTGCTTTTAACAGTCACATTTGCATTGTCAAAATGTCCCTCTAAGAATGGGAGATATTGGTCATTCTTCACAGGGTAAAAGTGTCTCAAAAAAGGCAGCAATAAATCAAAAGGCTGCCAGCAAGCCCTGGTTGCATTGGCATCCCTGTGCCACAGCCCATCAAAATTGGTGTTTTTCTGCTGACTTGTACAAACAAAACACAGCAGCAGTGTCTGCTGGTTCTTTTTACAGCAAGAAAATGTGAGAATCTGACACTTATTTAAACTTTGGCTTGTCCATCCACGTGGACTGGTGAGTGCTTTCCTGGCTGTATAAATAAAATTCTGTTCCCTTTCCATGTTCTCAGGAATGCTCCAACCCCTGCTGTGATGCTGCCACCTGCAAACTCACCCCTGGCTCCCAGTGTGCTCAAGGACTGTGCTGCAAAAACTGCAAGGTGGGCAGTGCTTTATTAAACTCAATTGTTACTGTTCATTGGGATTTTTTAGTGTTTGAAAAGAGCTATCCTAGTCCTCTTGACATATTTTCAAATGACATTGACTAGTAAGAGAGTATGAAAGAAGAGAATTTGTCTTATAAATGTTCCCAGTTGTTTTTGTTTCACTCTAGACCTTCCTCTGTTGCAATACTAAAGGTGTTCTCCCTCTTTGGTCTAGTTTAAAGTGGCAGGAGCAGAGTGCAGAGCCAAACAAGATGTCTGTGATCTCCCTGAGTACTGCAATGGAAGCACTGCCTACTGCCCAGATGATGTTTACATCATGAATGGTCACCCCTGCAGCAACAGCAAAGCTTATTGCTACTATGGGCTGTGCCAGAGCTTTGATGCACAGTGTGAATCCATCTATGGCAAAGGTAAGCTTGGCATTTCATATAAACCCATTTGTAGGCTCCTGATAAACATTTCCAATTTTTCTTTCTGGTGTTTTTCAGACACCTTACTGAGATTCACTATTTTTTTTTTTTGTACAGGGGCACGAAAAGCACCTGATATATGCTTTGAAAAAGCAAATATTAAAGGAGATAGGTTTGGGAACTGTGGGATGAAAGGTGGAGTGTACAAGAAATGCCCTGTCCAGTAAGTCACTACCAAATCAAAGCTAACCTTAAAATCTTCAATGTAAAAAAAATAACTTTGTTACAAAGTCTTAAAATGAGAGATTTTAAAGATTTTTCTTTTTAATGCAAGCTAAAAAGCTGGAATGGATTACAGTGATCCTGATATTTACCTGTTCACCTTGTCTCAGAGTATCCTTCATTCCAAACAGGCACAGTCTGTGTGGGAAGCTGCAGTGCACCTCTGTCAGTCTCCAGAACCTCCCGGCCTGGAGCGTTGTCAATAATGCATCTGGGGTTTTGTGCTGGTCCTCTGACTTTGACCTGGGATCAGATATCCCTGATCCTGCCCAAGTTCATGATGGCACAGCCTGTGGAGAGAACAAGGTAAGAGGAACCACAGCTGCATGACAGAATATAGTCCATGTGGAAGGTTCTGATCTTCCAAAAACATTCCCTGGCTCTCTTGTTTATATGATATAACACAATAAAAATCTTTTGGGATTAATACATGCAAACAATTAATTAGCTGTTCAAAAACTGGCGTGCTACATTATCAATTTACTCCATCAAAGTGCATCCACAGAGTTAAGCAAACCTGAGACCAATAAAGTTATAAAATTCTGAAATACCAAATGTTATATCAGTCCTTTTTCTTAACATGTAAGTGAAAGCTTGTAAACATATACACTTATATAGTATATTTATAAAAGGATGGGATTTTTTAAAGTTTTGTGTTTGCAAGACACTAATTACTTGTTGCAGGCCTGTTTAGGTTTTGAATGTCTCGATGCAAGATTTCTGGGCTACAGCTGTGATGTAAAGCAGAAGTGTAATAATAATGGGGTGAGTAGATGGTGCTTTGTGTCCTGTTTCTAGACTCTGCAAATTCCCTGCTTTTAAGCAATAACCAAGCAGGTGGCTTTGCTTTATCCTGATCTGTATTAAAAGTTAAATCCATGGGTTTTACCTGTAGTTTGCCAGAACACTACAAACCCCTTAGCACTAGCATTGAGAGGCATTTTGTCTCAATTTCCCAAGGGAATTTTTTTTTAATATTACCGAGCTGGTGAATTACAAAAGGAAAATATTCCTTTGAGGATGATGATCTGGTAATTCATGATTTATATATGTCTCTGTGAAAAATCAAAATGGAGTTCAAAGGTTGTAAAACTAAGAAGGTTTCTGGGCTGTGATGAATTGCAGGCAGATAACACAAATGTTAATTTAGAGAGAATTACCACGGGGTATCAGACTCTGAGAATTACCACAGGGTATCAGAGTCCCTGTGTGGTTTGGGGTGTATGGAGGGGCAGTGCTTATTCCCAGATAATATTTCATGTATCTCCATGCAATACTTTGCAGCATTTTTTATTTCCACATGCAATTCCACGCATGGAACTCCAAATCCACGCCAAAGGTTTGAGTGGCCACTCTCAGGGAGGCGTTGTTTGACTAATGAGGTGTTGTTTGACTAATCCCTGTGTTTGGGCTGTAGGGGTGTGACAACCCGGGGGCTGTCCCTGCCTGACTCACGAGTCGCTTTTGTTTGAGCTGCAGGTGTGTAACAACAACGGGAACTGCCACTGCAATCCGGGATGGGCCCCTCCTTTCTGCAACCAGTCTGGCTACGGGGGCAGCATTGACAGCGGCCCAGCTCACAGAGGTAGGACACTGAAACTGGCCCTTATTCTGCCCCAGGGACTGAGAAATAATCTGCTAATAACATAAAAATAACCTACTAATAACATAAAAATAATCTACTAACAACAAAGAAATAATCTACTAATAACATAAAAATAATCTACTAATAACACATTAGTGTTTTTTTCTGTTGCATGAGATCCAAATCATGGACTGACTCGAGGAACAAACATTATTATTTGATAATGAAGTAGCTTTTGCTGGCCTTTACACACAAAATGGTTTCCATCTCTTTGTCTAGAAGCAAAGTTCATAATCTGTAGTTTTCTGAGGAAAATCTCTGTTTCTGCGGAACTTCATTGGATTTTACTAAATTTGTACTTTGGGAAAGGGAAAAAACGTTTTGTATTTATTAAAAGTTTAGGAAGGCAAAGCAAACATGCAGAGCACTTGTGATAACCAAATACAAAACGAATTTGTCTGCTTCAGAATTATTGAAAACATTTTATGGAAAAGGAAAAACATTGCATATACATAGGGTGGGCAAGGCAGAAAGAACTTGTAAGGCCAAATCCTACTTTTCTGATTGCAACATGTTATAAATTTTAGTGAAACTGTTAATTCTATTCTGCAACAATTTGAAGATTGTATTTTTTAAAACAAAAAGAAAGCTTTAATATTTTAAATTCCATTATTTCAATTTTTTTTCCCTAGATACATCACTTCGGGATGGGCTGCTGATTTTCTTCCTCCTGGTGCTGCCTGTAGTCATCCTCATTGCAGTAGCAGTGTTTAAACGTGATGCAATAAGGAGAAAACTTTGCAGGAAAAGCAGAGCACAGCACAGGTATTTCCCTTCTCACAGGTGCTATTCCAACATGAGATTGTGCCCCAGGACAGTGCAGCAAGGCTTTGTCTACACAAAATATTCCACACCTCCTACAGGACAAGCTGCCCTGCTAACAGCAGCAGTGGGGAGTTAACAGCCATCCCTGCTCCTTGGAGGTGCAATCCAGACACTCCACTTGTCTGTTCTCAAGCATTTTTTCCCAAATCCATTGCACTTCCCTAATTTTTGTTGATAATTGAATCATATGGATGCAGGGGCAGAGCATATTGAAATTGCTGTCCAGTCCAGAGCAGGATGGACTCAAAGCAGAACCCAGAGCTCTGAGCTGTGGCTGTGTGCTTGGAAAATGCTGGAGCCCTGAGGGATTCCTGATGATGTGGTTTCTGTTTCAGGGATAGCAATGGGCAGGAACCAAAGCAAGGCAACAGAGCAAGTCATGAAACAGGAAACAATCAGGTAAAATAGATGGAGACTTGGATTATTTCATGTTGGGTAATCCTGACTGCACAGTGCCTTTTCCCCAAAGCATTAATCATGGCTTTGGGACTTTCTGATACATTGAAACACCTCTGTTATTTCTTTGGCCAAACACTGGGGATGCTGCTTAGCCAGGCTGTGGGCCTAGTTCTGATAAAACTGAATAAAAATTATCAAAACAAAATGTTGCAAGAAAATATGAAGAAAGCCCCAGCAAATGAGAGCCAGTTCTAAAATGACATTAGCTTAATACTGAAGAATTATCTACACTTTGTGTTTTCTGCTAACCTGATTTTTTGCAATGTCTTTTCCAGCCTGCTGCACCCAGTCACAATATTTTTACCATATTGCATTTTCCTGGTACAAGGTTTGTAGTGTTTAAAACCTTCTTCACTTCTTCTTTCCTATGTTTAAAACCTTCTTCACTTTATCTTCCTTATATTTAAAACCTTCTTCACTTCATCTTCCCTGTGTTTAAAACCTTCTTCACTTCATCTTCCCTATGTTTAAAACCTTCTTCACTTCATCTTCCCTATGTTTATGTTGCTGTAAGTGAAGTTATTGATGTCCTGTGTCCTGCTTAGGGGGACTTTTCATGCAGCATCATGAAATAGATTAAAGATTAGATTAGATTTAATTAATAGATAAATTCAATTTAAATTAATTAGGTTAATTAATATATTAATTAGATTTAATTAACAGATTTTTCATGCAGCATCAAGCATAGATTAAAGGCTTGAAGGAAACATGTTGGCATAAACACAGGTAAATGCTGCAAGGGAGAGGAAGGGGCAGAAAGAATTAGTTGGAAATGATAGGAACTGCTTAAAAATGCTAAAGAACCAGTTTGTAAAAGTCAGGTGTCTCAAGTCATGAGATACTAAACCCAATGTGTTTTCCACACTTCAGGCAGCCAGTCCAAACCCAGCCTCCTGCAGCTTCCTCAAGACCTCAGCGACCCCCAGTCCCACCTAGACCAATTGTCTGAGACCTCTCTTGGGAACCCTCAGCCAATTCTGGCAAAAAACTGGCCTGAAAAACAAATGAAAGGATTTCAATGCTCCAGTGCTCTCCTTGTGCAGCCAAATTGCCTTTGGGAAGCAGGTCCCTCCTGGCCCTGGGTGCCAAGGGGCTCTGAGCACAGACTGGGGACACCCCAGGGTTTTGCTCCTTGCTGCTGGCTGTGTTTGTGCCTCCTCTACCTCACCTTTTACAGACCCTGGAGATCATTGTGCACAGGAGTGAACCTGGGGGAGTGCCAGAGAACAGGACTGGCGCTGCTGCTTCCCACTCAGGCCACAGAGAAGTGAATTCTGCTGTTCACAGACATCATTCAAAGATGGGAGATCTGCACTTTACCTCCTGGCCTCTCCTCTCCTCTCCTCTCCTCAGGGTCTGCAGAGCCAGCTTTGGGGACACTCCCTGTGCCCTGCCCTGACACCTATGTCTTGGTTTGCAAAGCCAGGTCTCTGCTAAGGAAGGCAGGAGCCTCCCTGAAATGGAAAATGTAAACCCCTCCTTCTGAATTGCTATAAATTTTAAATTAAGGGGCTCTCAGGCAAAGATATGGGAGCAGGGATAACAGTTCTTTACTAGGGAAGAAAATAAAAAGATAAAATAAACGACACAGTAAACCAAAACAACACTGCCAGAGTCAGAACACAACCTGACATGCAATGGTAGCAGTTCAGTTGGAATTGTGCTGCAGAACTCCTGGAGTGCCACCAGCCCAGAGCCCACCTCTCACACCCCACCAGCCAGGTCAGCTTGCATTTCAGGTAATTTATAAAAGTAACCTCACCTGGGGACACCAGAAACTCTGTAGGCCATGTCCTGAGTGTGAAAGGTCCCATCCATACCTGTTACAGAAAATGTGGGATATTGGGAATAGCTCTGCAGCTCCACAGGGTTTACTGGGGGTGGCAGCTTGGCCTTTTTCATAGAAATTGCTTCCACCACAAAAGCAACAGATTAACTTTTGTCATTCTGAATGGGACAGTTAGAAACCAGCACTGATTTCAAATCTATATCCCCTCTATGGAGGGATATAGATTTCCAAACAGGCTCCCTCAAATGTCTCTGTGGGAGATGGATGCAGGAAATCCAGGGAAATCTCCACCAGCTGCAGTGCAGAGAGCACCTCACTGCCAAAACAGAGCTCTGGGTGTGCATCCACCTTCCCTGGGCACTGCAGCACACCCTGGCTGTGCTCATGCAAATCTCAGAGTGCAAACTGGGAAAAACAGTGAATAAATTACAGGATTGCCTCACTGAGAGAATATTTCCAACCCTCAGATGGCCACATCACTGAAGAGCTGGAAAAAAGAACCCAAAAGGGATTGCTGGCAAAAAGTCTGAGTCTTCCAAAGTGTCTTCTTTGATCCCTCAGAATCTCAAACTGTTCTTAGTAAATATCCCTGTCATTTAGACCTCAAGTATGATACAACATTGATTTTATTTATTACATGACAATTTAAAATAAATCCTCAGGGGCAGCACACGTGGTTGTATCTGTGTTTTGTGATCACCACAAAAGGCACCGCGGGGCACGGGGGATGGCTCAGCCTTTGATGCTCCAGGGGGGGCTAAAGGGAATTCTCGTGCTTATTGTGATG